TTTACAGGTCCGCCCCGATGTCTCATCTGAATTATGGAGAATTCTTATATATTTTGGGGAGCTAGGAGGGCAGACATCAAGTCCAATGGCCAGCAGCTGGATGTCCCCATAGCTCAGGGTGGGGTTAGATGGATTGGGGTGCCGGGTATGCTTTGCAGCGGGTGGTTCCCACGGTGCATCTCTTTGTCCATCTGGATAGTCCTCCAGATGTTCTGGTCTTACATGCAAGGGGCAACGATTTGGGTTTGCGTTCTATGCAAGAGCCTATTAGGGACGTTAAATTTGATTTCCTGTGGCTTCGATCATCCTTTCCAGGGATGATTTTTTGTGTGATCAGATATCATGGCCCGCACTTCTGTGGAGTGGTTGAATAAGGCCTGTATAAAGATGAATAAGGAGGTGGGCAGATTCGTGACTAGGAATGGTGGCCTGGTGGTTCAGCATGTGGAGTTGGAGAAGGATTCGAGCTGTACCTTAGAGGGGATGGAGTACATCTTAACGCTGTGGGCACTGATTTGTGGTTCTTGGGATTGCAAGACAGTATCCAGCAGGCCTTTAGGGTTTGGCGACACTTGTGCTGTGGTGGCAGTTGGGGTCCTTGATAGGGGTCTAAATCGTGGTCTGTTGGTAAAATGGTGGGACCCATCTCAGGTGGGGAGTCCTCTGGATGGTCTGGTTCAGTTTAGACTGACCGGGGAGGTAAGGTTGGTAGGGGTCTGTGGTCAGTTAGGATAGTCCCCGAGGCGGTGTTTATTGGCTGGGGATAGAACCTAGCTTAATGGTACCACGAACTCAAAATGGTGTGAGGAGGTGTCCTCGTCAAGGACCCGCAACTGTTCTGGACCTGGTCTGTTTATAACGGTGAAAGTTTTGCTTGTTATTTATGTTTTTGTTTAATAAAAAGGGCTGATTTGGCCATTTAACTCCGTTTTGGGTGTTGGTGTCGTTATTTAAGGAAATAAGGGGGTGGAAATAGGGGGCAGTTTAGAGTGGGCATAGGCAACAGGTGTATCTGAACTACCCGAGTCATGTTCCAAGCTGACCAGGGATGGTTCCAGGATCCCATTTAGCGTCCTTGGCTCTGTGTATAGAGCCTACAGCTGCACCATTGTTATTAGCAAATCCCACAGGAAGGGGAGATTGTGGCTTCATATTGTTTATAATGAGCATGATTCTCCTCTGCTTTTTGTAAGTTTTTATTACTGCTACAAAAAAAAGTTAATATACATACTGCACTTAGAAAAAGGTTCTTCCCTTTTTCTCCTTGTTTTATTGTCAGTACATGAACTGATTGACTCCTTGTACTGCTTCTTTCCCTTGCATGCCAGATATGTTGTACAGGGACTGCAAGAGGCTGGTACCAGGTCAAATGAAGGTACTTAAACAGCTCGCATTTAAAAAAATACACTTAGGGCTGGTTCACACCATAAAAATGCAGTCCAGGTGCATTCCAGATGCATTTCTGTATGCGAGTTTTTGATGTGTTTTTGATGCATTCTGGTGCATTTGTTATGCATTACGGTTAATTTTTTCCCCTCATTTCCCCTCTTTTTCTTTAACTTAAAAAAATGCAGCATGTTCTACTTTTTTTTCTGCAACTGGAATGCCCTGGAACTGAACACACTGGTGTGAACTATGCCATTGAAAACCATGTAACCTACTATCAATGCGTTTTTTGATGCAGAAAAAAACCCCACTGGACTGCATGTGGTGTGTGAACTGGCCCCTAAAGTAGTTGTAAAGCCTAAACATTTTTTACCTTGAAGGATAAGTTCACCTTTCGTAACATGTTATATATTACACCCATATTTAGGGGGTAACATGTAACATGTTACGAACGGACTGGCCCCCATTCCTCCACGCTCTCCTTGTGAAAGCTAGTGGGGGATCTTCTCCTCCCCTCTAGCTGTCACAATTTAAAAAAAAAGGGTTTCTGTGAATGAATGAACTACAGGAAACTTGCATGGCACCAGTGATCTGCTGATCGCTGGTGTAATACTTTAGAGACTCCAGAAAAAATAATAATGCACAATTTTTTACCTGCAGAAAAGGTGAACTTATCCTTTAATGTATTCATTGCATTAAGGTAAAAAAAAATTAGGGTGAACTATCAGTCCTCACTCCCCCTTATATGCACTGGATCCAGCACAGTGCCCATCTGCAGCAGCTCTCACCGAATTTCCCCAGTCTTGAAGGCTTTGCATAAAGCAGCAGGAGCCTTAGGTTTCCACTGCTGTCAGTCAAATCCTGTGATGAGAGAGTGGGGGGCGGTGCCGAGCCTTGCTGTCTGTCTCAATGGACACAGGTAGTGCAGCTCGGGATCAAGACCGCAGGTGGGCCATGATAGGAAGCAGTTTTATATGGTGGCACACAAAGAAGAGGAGGAGCTAAGAATTCTGGCAGGGGACCCCAGTAGGGGAGGTTGGAAGAATTTTCCCCATCTTGAACGCTTTTGACATAAAGCAGCGGGAGCCTTAGGTTTCCACTGCTGCTGTCAGTCAAATCCTGTGATGAGAGAGTGAGGGGGCGGTGCCGAGCCTTGCTGTCTGTCCTCAATGGACACAGTATTGTGCAAAACTCTGTGCATTTCCATTACATAGAGCAGGTAAATATAAACCTTTTTGTGAGTTTTAAAAAAATAAAACTGAAGACTTTACAATCATCCTAATTATGTTTTAAGGATTACAGAGCTTCATTAATATGTATCTTTTATATCTGCCTAGAGTTCATCTTTAAACCCATGTATCAACTTTAAAAATGCAGTAGTCCCTTATGTATCTCACCAATTTAGTTGTCCTTCTCTGCAGCTTTTTCGAACAGATGCCCAAAATTACTTTATATATTCAAGATGGTTTTAATACTACCTTTGTATTAGAGCAGATTATGGGATTGATTTACTAAAGGCAAATAGGCTGTTCACTTTACAAGGGAATTATCCCCAGAGCTTGGTGAAAAAGGTGTTAAAAGTTCTGTTAAACTCCATAATTCAATTATTTGCAGGAAAAAAAGTTTTTTAAATTTTCTTTAAACGGTATTGGGTATCCTTTGCAAAGTGAAATTTTATACTTTGCTCTGGGGAATTTTTTTTTGCAAAGTACATCTTCCCTTACAAAGTGAAAAGCTTATTTGTGTTTAGTAAATCAACCCCAATATCTACAGTAACTCCCATCTGTTCTTTTCTGCACCCTTTTTTCCAGCGCATGGTGTTTGTTAACTGGTACGCAAAACTGATTGACATATTCTAGATTGTAGAGTTCTTATTTTCCATGGTAGCTACATGGTATATTTATAAGGGATTTGTTAGAACATAAACCCTATGTTATGCAAAATTTCACCCAAAATCACCGGGCAACAGACACTGTAATTATAAAACAAATGTATACTATCTATGTACCTGTGTTCTTGCATGGAAAAGCTGCTTTCTGTTAGTGATGTGTGAACTGGTCTGTGTTTAGTATGACAGGAGGTCCTTGAATTCAACCTGAAATCTGCTAACCCTGGACATAGCAACCAAACCACATTAAGGCCTATGGATGCCAATTTGTTACACATTCCCATGTGTCAATCTATACATTTTCTTTTGCTTTTCCTCATCTAATATTAATCATAATTCCCTTTCCCATTTCTCCATATATGGAGGAATCATGACCGCTAATAATCTAGTGAAAATTTTATATATTCTAGAAGTCCCGTGTTTCCCATCACCTCATGTATTAAGTAAATATTCAAAAGGATTCCATTCGTCTTTTGTTCTTAAGGGCCTGGGAAGCTTCCTTATAAAATTTCTTAATTCAATATAACGCCATTCATTAAATCTTGTGAACAACTCATTCTTATTTTTCAATTCCAAAAATGGACAGATTTCCTCGCCCCTCATTACATCTCTTAACTGTGCATCTTCCTTCTTTATCCACCTCCCCACAATACTTTCTTTTCCCTGCAAGAAGAACTCTGTGTCCACTATGGGCATTAATATAAAATTAAACTCCCATCCCATCTGCTTGTGAACTGCATCCCAGATCTTCAATACATTTTGTGTATATGTACTAATTTCTATTAATCCACGATATTGAGGTGATAACCATATAATTCTACTCAAATGTGACCCACTTAGTGTATTTTCTATTTTCACCCAACGTTTCCCATGTGCATTGTGTGTCCAATCAAAGATTCATGCTAACATTACTGAATTATAATATCTTTTAAAATCTGGTACACTCAGTCCTCCATGCTCTTTATCTCTACTCAGTACTTTGTAGCTTTTTCTAGGTTTTTTTTTATTTCCCCATATTTACCTTGTTAACATTTTTTTAATTATTCTAAAATATATTCCTGGTAGCTTTATTGGTATCATATGAAATTTATATAATATTTTTGGAACAATTACCATTTTTATCAAGTTTATATGTCCTATCCATGATAGAGCTCCTATTCCTAATTTCCTTAATTCATCCTTGGTCTCATTTAATAATGGGATCAAGTTTGCTCTATATAGATCCTTTAAAGATGCAGTTAATTTTATACCTAGATATTTTAATTCTCTTTCCTTCCAAGAAAAGGGGAATTCTTTTTGTAACATTTTTTTTTTTTATATTTAAGATCTCCGTTTTAGTTGGATTAATTTCTAAGTTTGACATCTCCCCATATTCTTTCAGTGTTTTCATTAGGTTTGGCAATGTTGTCCTAGGATTAACCACATAAAACAGCATATTATCCGCATATGCTGCCACTTTATGTTCTGTCTCTCCTATTTGAATTCCTTTTATATCTATATTTTTTCTTATTGTAACTAAGAGAGATTCTAGGGACAAGAAAAATAGCAATGGTGACAATGGGCATTCTTCTCTTGTCCCATTATGCATCCTAAAGTACTAGGTTTTAGAGGAGAAAAACAAGAAAAAAAATATTCTGAACCAATGGACTGCAGACATAGTACAGGAAGTGACCAGACACTGCGGACACAGTACAGGAGATGACCAGATACTGTGGACACAGTACAAGAGATGACCAAAGACTGCGGACACAGTAGAGGAGATGACCAGAGACTGCGGACATAGTACAGGAGATGACCAGAGACTGGGAATAGTACAGGGGATGACCAGAGACTGCGGACACAGTACAGGAGATGACCAGAGACTGCGGACAGTACAGGGGATGACCAGAGACTGTGGACAGTACAGGAGATGACCAGGGACTGCGGACAGTACAGGAGATGACCAGAGACTGCAGACAGTATAGGAGATGACCAGAGAATGCGGACAGTATAGGGGATGAACAGAGACTGTGGACAGTACAGGAGATGACCAGAGACTGTGGACTGTACAGGAGATGACCAGAGACTGTGGACTGTACAGGAGATGACCAGAGACTGTGCACTGTACAGGAGATGACCAGAGACTGCAGACAGTACAGGAAATGACCAGAGAATACAGACATAGTACAGGAGATGACCAGAGAATACAGACATAGTACAGGAGACGACCAGAGACTGCGGAGAGTACAGGAGACGACCAGAGACTGCGGACAGTACAGGAGATGACCAGAGGCTGCGGACAGTATAGGGGATGAACAGAGGCTGTGGACAGTACAGGAGATTACCAGAGACTGCGGACAGTATAGGAGATGACCAGAGACTGCGGACAGTGTAGGGGATGAACAGAGACTGCAGATAGTACAGGAGACGACCAGAGACTGCGGACAGTACAGGAGATGACCAGAGACTGCGGACAGTATAGGAGATGACCAGAGACTGCGGACAGTATAGGGGATGAACAGAGACTGCAGACAGTACAGGAGATGACCAGAGACTGTGGACAGTACAGGAGATGACCAGAGGCTGCGGACAGTACAGGAGATGACCAGAGACTGCAGACAGTACAGGAGAAGACCAGAGGCTGCGGACAATACAGATGACCAGAGACTGCAGACAGTACAGGAGATGACCAGAGACTGCAGACAGTACAGGGCATGACCAGACACGGCGGACCTTTAGGGAGGGAGGGGGAGCGGGTACCTGAATTTGACAGGTACCCGCTCCCACTTCTGCGGAGTTCTCCTTCCTATACTGTGGGCGCCCGACTTTGACAGCCGGGTGCCCACTGCGCATGCGCGAGAAGCGCTGCGCTTTGTGAATTTCCCGGCGTCTTTTGGGACCTGTCATATGTCCCAGAAGGCACCGGACCATTCACAAAGTGCAGCGCTTCTCGCGCATGCTCAGTAGGCACCGGGCTGTCACAGATGCCGGGGCTGGAAGAAGCTGGCGCTGGAAGACTACAGCGCTGGACCAAGGAACAGGTGAGTTCCTGCCGCAGAGAACAGCTGAGCGGCCGGCCAGGTATTCTGACATGGTGGCGGTGGAAATACCCGACCAGCCGCTTTATATTCGCTCCATAAGATGCACTGACATTTTCCCCCCTTTTTTTGGGGGAAAAAAGTGTATCTTATGGAGCGAAAAAAATATGGTAGAAAAAAGATTGCGCCGCGCTCCTATATATTTATATATACAGCTTAAGCTTCTAAAGTGTATCAAATAACAATATTACCAAATATGAACTGTGACTATACCGCTAAATGCATATGAAATAATACATATAGATAGCATGCATGGTAAATAATCCTAAAGCAATAGTGCCTTAATGGGTGCCACGGTATAAACCTATGTTGCACCTATATATAACTGTGTATACTCTATATTAATAGTGCAAAAGCATATGTGCACGTGCTAAACAGATATATATACAGTCTTTGAAATAAATGTGCAGGTGGATATTCTGTTCCTTTTCTCCGAGTGCTAGATGGTCTCCTTATATGCTCACCTCTATATTTGCCTGAATGAATCCAGACAAATACGCTTTTTATCCTTCCAGGATAGATGAAATGGGATAATGCCTTTGCTCTAGCCGTCCTATGAGGTGGACATGCATATGGATGGATCCTCCTGTTATCTCCTTTATCTCCCTGTGTATCTATGAGTACACTGAATAGCTCTCTTGGGATCTCCTCCCAATTCCCCTCCTGGGGTTGTTTCCTCGTTCACTCCTCCTTATATCAGCTCATGGGATGTTTGGTCAAAAAGAGGAAAAAGCAGACCATAGTGTCTTATCCTTATACACAAAATGGATTTATTTCTGCCAATAACAGGTATAACTTGATGGTATGCAGCTCATATATGATCCAGACAGGCATAGATGGCAATCAGCAGGTAAAAAGTAGGTAAAAAGAAACCTCTCTGCAGCTGCCCCTGCAGTGCTGTCTGCCTGTGCTTGTGCTCGGATCTGCTCGCTTCTCCAGTGCAATGTCGTGACGTCAGAGCCCCTCCCCTACGCGTTGCGTCACAGGGTCATGTGACTTCATCAGGGGGAATTTGATTTCCCCCTGATGAAGTCACATGACCCTGTGACGCAACGCGTAGGGGAGGGGCTCTGACGTCACGACATTGCACTGGAGAAGCGAGCAGATCCGAGCACAAGCACAGGCAGACAGCACTGCAGGGGCAGCTGCAGAGAGGTTTCTTTTTGCCTACTTTTTACCTGCTGATTGCCATCTATGCCTGTCTGGATCATATATGAGCTGCATACCATCAAGTTATACCTGTTATTGGCAGAAATAAATCCATTTTGTGTATAAGGATAAGACACTATGGTCTGCTTTTTCCTCTTTTTGACCAAACATCCCATGAGCTGATATAAGGAGGAGTGAACGAGGAAACAACCCCAGGAGGGGAATTGGGAGATCCCAAGAGAGCTATTCAGTGTACTCATAGATACACAGGGAGATAAAGGAGATAACAGGAGGATCCATCCATATGCATGTCCACCTCATAGGACGGCTAGAGCAAAGGCATTATCCCATTTCATCTATCCTGGAAGGATAAAAAGCGTATTTGCCTGGATTCATTCAGGCAAATATAGAGGTGAGCATATAAGGAGACCATCTAGCACTCGGAGAAAAGGAACAGAATATCCACCTGCACATTTATTTCAAAGACTGTATATATATCTGTTTAGCACGTGCACATATGCTTTTGCACTATTAATATAGAGTATACACAGTTATATATAGGTGCAACATAGGTTTATACCGTGGCACCCATTAAGGCACTATTGCTTTAGGATTATTTACCATGTATGCTATCTATATGTATTATTTCATATGCATTTAGCGGTATAGTCACAGTTCATATTTGGTAATATTGTTATTTGATACACTTTAGAAGCTTAAGCTGTATATATAAATATATAGGAGCGCAGCGCAATCTTTTTTCTATCATTTATACACACTAGCTAAGTGAGTCAGTGCAAGTGCCAGCGCACCTCATACACTTGTAGAACACATTGAACACCTCGATTCATAATAGCTCACAAGCATTCACCATAATTATTTATGAAAAAAATATGGTACTCTGATAGTTCTCCATTGACCATTATTGCTGCCGAGGGTTGACTATATAATTTCTTTATTCATTCTCTCATTCTTGAGCCTATCCCCAAGACTTCCAATGTATCTATATCCCCAATCTAATATATCAAAAGCTTTTTCAGCATCGACCGAGAGTAACAACATGGGAGTTTTTCCTTTCCTACATTTTTGTATAAGAAGTAGAGATCTTAGTTCATTATCTCTACCCTCCCTCCCTGGGAAAAAGCCCACCTGATTCAAATGGATCCATTCTGGCATTAGGTCTTTTAACCTGTTTGCCAGAACTTTTGGATATAGTTTAGTATCTATATTCAATAGGGATATCGGTCTATAACTAGAGTACTGAGTATCATCTTTTCCTTCTTTATGTATTATTACAACATGAGCTTGCAAGTATTCCACCCTCATTTCCATCTCTCCTCCCAAAGCATTCATGTATATCCTCAGTTTAGGTATTAATTGATCTTTATATTTCTTGTAATTTCTCACTGTAAACCCTTCTGGTCCTGGACTTTTCCCCGCTGTAGTACTCTTCAGTGCTAGATAAATTTCTTCCTGCATTATTTCTTTTTCAAGGGATTTTAATTGTTCTTCCCTTAGTTTTGGCAACCTCACCTTTTTTAAATATGCCTGTCTTTTTTCTCCCCTTTATTCTTCTTCCTGTATGGATCCATGGGGAATGATATTATATAGTTTGTTGTAATATTCTTTAAATACTTTTGCTATATCTTTAGTTGAATACATTATTTCTCCATTACTGTTTCTTATTTTCTCTATATAGTTCCTAGATTTTTTTTTTCTCTGAGCTCTCATTAGATATTTTCCTGGCCTATCTACCCATCTATATCTCTCACTTATCATTTTAATAAACACTCTCCTCTTTTCTTCCTCCATATAATTATTTAGTTTTTCTCTTTTTTTTATTACACTTGTGTGTTTATTTTTTCTAATCTCTCTTTTTTTTTCTTCACCCTTATCGCTATTAGGATTCCTCTAATATAGGCCTATGATTTTCCCACACTGTTGCTACTGACACGTCTTCAGTCCATTGCTTTCAAAATATTGCTCTATTTCTATTTTAATCTTCTGACCAGTCTCATGATCCTGAAGAAGTGACTCATTTAATTTCCAAGAATTTCCCTTATGTTCTCTTCCCCATAGTAACGTCATTGTGACAGGTGCATGGTCTGAAATTGTTATGACTTCTATATTTACTTTTAGAGATGAGCGAATCGAAGTATCCGAAGTGGAATTCAAGTCGAATATCGGAAAAATTTCGATTCGTGCCGAATCCGAAAAATAGCCTAATTCGGATGCGCGAATCGAAATTTTTCAGAAAATGGCGGCTGACATGTGCGGCGACGGAGCGGGGATGTCTGGGAAGGCGCGCAGACAAGGCGCGCTGACCCATAATGCATTCCTCAACTACAT